TTGGGTTTCTTCGAATAGGGAGATTGGGAATATTAACGTTTATGGGCCTAACGTGCAAGGGGATAGAAGAGAATTTTTTGTGCTCTTAGAGTCAATTATTTCTAATTGGGACATACCGGTGATTATAGGGAGTGACTTTAATTCTGTTAGGAAGAAGTCTGAAAGGATAGGAGCTCAGGATTATGAGTCTGCTTCGAGGATGTTTGAGGATTTCATCAATCCATGTGACCTGATTGAGGTGCCTAATCAGGGTAGTGTGTTCACTTGGTTCAGGGGTGGTGGAAGTGTTGCTGCTAGTAGGCTAGACAGATTCTTGATATCCACTAAAATTTTTAGTTCGTGGCCCCAGTTGGTTCAATGTCCTCTGCCTAAGGGGTTATCCGATCACAAGCCGATTATTTTGAAAGAGAAGAGGCTGCACAAGTTTTTTCGACCGTTTAAATGGTTTAATCATTGGTCAGAAGACTCTATTTTGGTTCAAAGCATCAGTGATTTATGCATGGATAATTATGGGAGTGGTATAAACAATATGTTGACGCTCGTGAAAAATGCGACCAAGAACAGAGAGAGAGAATTTCAGGAGTTGAATCCCGAATCGGCAGAAGAGATGGGTAAAACGATCGATCAGTTAGAAGAGAGATGACTGTCGGACCCTTATAATTCTCAGTTACAGGTGGAGATTTCCTCGATGAAGGCTAGATTGTGGACTATAGTTAGGAAGGAAGAACGTGACTGGTTGCAAAAATCTAGGTTGAGATGGTTCAATGAAGGTGATAGAAATACGAAATTTTTTCATCTCTCAGCCATTTCTAGGGGTCGAAAAAAATCAGATTTCAAAGCTGAAGTTTCAGAATACTACATTCAAAAACCAGGGCAGCATTCAACAAGCTTTTGTCAATTATTTTGCTGATGCTTATAATGTGGTGTCGACTATTCCATTGAAGAAATTTGATATCCCTTTTAAGAGAGTTAATGTTGTATCCAGACGGTCCATTGAGAGTCCTTTTTCGGAAGATGAGGTTTGGCATGTTATTTATTCTTCTGACGGATCAAGAGCACCTGGTCCCGATGGTTTTAGCTTGGATTTTTTCAAGAAATTTTGGCATCTTATTAAAGGCGAAGTTATGAATTTTATGGAGGATTTTTATTGGGGTAGAGTGGTGGATTTCTCTTTTAATAAATCTTTCATCGCCCTTATTCCAAAGAAAGCAGAGGCTTCTTCCCCGAAGGACTACATACCAATTTCCTTGGTTAGCAGTTTGTATAAGATTGTTGCTTGAGTCATGGCGTAGAGATTGAGAAGTTGTCTAGGCAATGTGATTGGCGAGAATCAGTTCGCTTTCATTGCCGGAAAGAATATTGTCGATTGCAGTTTAATTGCAAATGAAGTTATTGATGGGTTATCTAAGAGCAAGAAAGAAGCTGTGTTGATCAAAGCTGATTTTAGTAAAGCGCATAATACAGTGGACTGGCATTTTTTAAACTTGATTCTCAAGAAAATGAGATTCGGTAGAAGATGGAGAAATTGGGTTCAATTTTGTATTTCTACGCCTTCTATTGCTATCCTTGTTAATGGTTGTCCGTCAAAATATTTCTCCATAAAGAGGGGTCTCAGACAAGGTTGTCCGTTATCGCCTATGCTCTTTAATATTGTTGGTGAGGCGCTCAGTGGTATGGTAAATAAGGTTGTTTCTTTGGGAATTTGTCGTGGAGTGGCTGTTGGATCTGGTGATCTTTCTTTATCTCACATTCAATTTGCTGACGATCTGCTTATTTTTTCTGAACCAAATGCAACGTCAATATCTAATTTCTACCGCCTGCTAAAATTATTCGAAGTGGCTGTTGGTTTGAAGCTGAATTTGAGCAAAACAAAGCTTTTTGGTATCAATTTGGAAGGTGGTACAGTAAGGAGGTGGGCAGACCTTATTCATTGTGGATGGGGAGAGCTTCCGACGACGTATTTGGGTTTGCCATTAGGACATCTTAGAAATTCTAAGTCTCTTTGGCAGCCCATTTTGGATAAAGTCAAGAATCGGCTCCAAAGTTGGAAAGGCAAACTGCTTTCATTTGGTGGAAGGTTAACTCTCATCAAATCTGTTCTAGTTAATTTGCCTGTTTATTACATGTTAATTTTCTCTATGCCCAAGTCTATTGCTGATCAGATTAATAGATACATAGCGAATTTCGTTTGGAATGTTAAGTCTGATAGAAGTATTATTGGATAAAATGGGATAACATTTGCAAACCAAAATCTCATGGGGGGCTGGGTATTTTTGATGTTCAAATCAGGAATCGTTCATTTCTTAACAAATGGATTTGGAGGTTTACTGTGGAAAGTGATAGTTTATGGAGGAAAGTAGTGACATCCAAGTATTATTATGACCAGGATGTAATTATTCCTTCAGCAGTTAATATTAGAAATTCTTCATGGGTGTGGAGTAATATAGTGAATTCGACTGGGTCTTTAGAGGCTGCTTTTATTGGTGATTTGCGGTGCATTATGGGTGATGGAAATAATATTGATTTCTGGCCGGATTATTGGTCAGAAAAACCTTCTCTAAAATCTTCTTTTCTGAGAATTTTCAGTTTAGCGGTTATTAAATGCGGTAAGATTAAGGACTTCGGTTGCTGGGTGCAGGGTAGATGGGATTGAAGGATTGTCTTGAGGAGATCTTTATTCGAATGGGAAATCTCTTTATGGAACGAGTTCATGCAGGTCTTAGATAGAGCGGTTAGTACTGTCTAAGGTCTTGATAGAGTAATCTGGTCTGGGGCGTAGAATGGGATTTATAATACGAGAGTTTTCTGTTTCAATGTGGCTGCAGGAGGTAATGTAGTTGACCCAATTTGGAGGTTAGTCTGGTTTAAATTTGTTCCGCCTAAAGTTTCTGTATTTGTGTGGAGAGCAGTGCACCTTAGATTGCCAGTTATGACTGAGTTGAATAAAAGAGGGGTCAACTGTAGTGATCAGATGTGCTGCCTGTTTTGCTTAAAAGAGCTGGAAGATATCAACCATGTCCTTTGTCACTGTGCTGTAGTTTGGGAAGTTTGGCTTCGATGGTGTAATGTGTGGAGTACCAACTTGGTGATTCCCAAAAATGTTAGTCAATTATTAGAAGTCTGGTTCGCTCAGAGTATTAGGAGGTGTGGGGGGGCGCTTTGGTGTATTGGTTTTTTCGGATTGATTTGGACTATCTGGTTATGCAGAAACAAAACTAGATTTAACAGATCTTCATTTTTGGCAGAACAGATTTTTTACAAAGCTTCGCTTCAGATAGGAATCTGGGCACATTATTTATGGTCATCGTTGGTTCCAGTGGTGAATGATTTTGTGAGGAATCCGGAAGCTATTTGTCAAGGTGTCTTTTTAAGGTTATCCTCAATGCATTATTTCAGGTTGTAAGACGTTCGGGCCGTGAATGGTGGCAGTAGTTGATTCGTATGTTCCTTGTCTGTTACTGCGACAGGATGCTGCCGATTGGTCCTTATGTTTCATGTTTCATTTTTCTGTTGTTCAAATTCTTTTTGGTTCTGTGGTGGCATCATAGCTGAGTTGTCTTTGTCACTACGTTCTGTTGGTCTGGAATCGGGAACATGCTCAATCAGAATGTTCCTAGGCAGTCATGTTTTCTTCTCTTATCCTGGTTACTATTCAGTACTCTTGGTTACTCCATTAGCTGTTCAAAAGCAATGCAGCTCGTTATTTTCTTGTTCAAAGTCTAAAGTCTGTATTGTTAAAGGCTTTTCTCCTCTTCCTGGATGGTTTCATGAAAGGTGTCGTATTTAAGGTGAAGGAGTAGTGTATCAATGGTTACTATGCGATAGACTTTGGTTCATTTTATTTGTTGCCTAGGCTGATGCTTTCCTTGTTTCTGTTTGGGTGTGCGTCGTTTCTTCGGTATTTCTATAGGCGTGGTTCATTCTTGTTAGTTTTTGCTTGGTTCGTGTTGCCGTAGTAGTGTGATCGGATATAGTTATGTGTTTATGGAATCGGTTGTAAACTATTTCCATCCCAAGGACACTCTTTTTCCTCTATTTAGGTGTAAGGAGGTTTTTTAATGAGGTCATTGGGATGTTTCTTTGTGTTTTCTTCATTACAAGGAATCCTTTATTTTCAAAAAAATTCTTTGATTTTGCTGTTGTGTCACCTTTGGGCTAATATCTCTTTTACGATAACCCAATAGTGATTTAAGGCCTAAGATTTAAATTTCAAAGCAAAATTTGTTTGATCTCCATTTTGGGAAAAAGGTTATGCGCGGCCAAATTGGCCTTAGGGCAACCGGCTAAATTATTTAACCATTTAGGGCATCTAAACATTTAATTTGGGATCTATAGTAAATTAAACAGTCCTTATAGAACTCGTCACGCCGACGTGACGAATTCAATGTGAAATAAATTTTTAATGGGCTGTGTCAAGTGGACCCTACACCCGGAATTAAAATATATATCTTGAGGGACTCGTCACGCCCAATTAAAAATATTTTTTTAATTTTTTTTAAAAAATTAAAAAATTTAATATTTTAAAAGAAAATTTAAAAATTAATATTTTATCTCCATCGTGACGAGTTCCAACGACTCTAATTTTGACTTTTTTGACCATTTTAAACGGTCGATTTTTTTAAAAAATTTCAATGGAACTCGTCACGTCGGGGTGATGAGTTCCAATGACTATTTTCAGTTTTAAAAAACTAGTTGTTCGGTAGGGTAGTATAAATAGAGGTTTGGGTTTGATAGATTTTTTACTTGTAATCAAACATTCTACTGAGAGCAAAAACTTTTGTGCTGAAGAATTTGTGTTGAAATGGCATCAAGAGATGAAATGTTATGTCTTGATGAAATTCATATTTCGTCAATCGAGTTGACAACGGTAAGTTTAATTTGTTTTATTTCATTTTAGTTTAGACAAAATTATAGTATTAATAATAATTATTTTATGTAATTGTATTAAATAATTTATTTTCAAATTGTACTGAGAAGAACGAACCATTCGTCATCGAGGGATGACGAATGAAGAGCCACATCAGCGGATGGTGATATATCTTTCACAATCTGGATTATATGGAGCGACATTTCTTCACGGATTTAAGGTGTTACCGACACTGATATCGACGTTGATTGAGCGTTGGAGGACCGAAGCCCATACGTTTCACTTACCTTGTGGTGAAGTGACGATAACTTTGGAAGATGTCGCGTATCAACTTGGCGTTCCGATTAATGGTATTCCATTGATGCTTCGCAACACTTATAAGGTAAATATTCTTATTTCAAATTTATTGGAAAATGAGACTCCAACCGATGTCATTGATGGGTTGCGGGTACGGATGACGTGGTTGGAAAGCGAATTTAGAGTAGATGAACAATCAACGGAGCAAGAGGTGATATATGTAGCTCGAGCATATCTTTTGTCGTTAATTGGAGGGATCTTGCTACCGGATAAATCGGGCAATTTGGTGCACACCCAATATCTTTCGATAATGGAGGATTTCGCTGTTTGTCGCCAATATAGTTAGGGTTATGCAATTTTGGCGTTTTTCTATCGTAAACTATGTAAGGCAACCGTAGTCGTTAGAGGAAAAAACGGATGTAGTGGGTTGTTTAGTTTTGCTCCAATCATGGTTGTGGTATCATCTCCCGTTTATGACGCCTATTACATCCGTTCCTATGGAGTTTCCTCTCGCCGCAAGTTAAATTCATATATTTAAAGTTTTCATATTTTATAATATTTATTCAAATATTTTAAAAATGACAATAAATTTTCTATTCTAATGCGGTTTGCATCCAAAATGAAGGTTGTTGTCTTTCAAAGTTAAACCCGTTGTCTTTAAATCCAAAATGAAGCTCGTACACAAACTGAAAGTATTTGTTCTTATCTCTTGGGCGAATACATTACCATTGATTTGACTCTATTGCTTGTGCTTTTGGTCTTGAAAACACTGGGATTGATAATGAGCGAGATACCGTCCTTTCTTCCTTAGAAGTAGGAAAGAGCGCTAGTATCCTTAACTTCCACGAGCGATTTCTTATTGGAAAATAAGAGCAGGCATTTTTTGAATCTCATACTGCTGAGAACACCAACCTATATTACTTAAGTTGAGGCGGAAGTGTAGTACACACTATTGTTACCTAAATCATACTATTAAGTGTCTGTGTACGCAGGGCAGTATACATAAGACCTAACTTATTGCTCGTGTAAACAACTTTGAAATGATTATAGACTTTTTATTGGACAATTCCAAGTTAGAAGAAATAGGGCATATTTTTCTTGGACAGAAATTGGGCATCAATGAACCTAGAGAGTTATATCATGAAGCCACTACAGTTCAAAAGTGACCCTGTAACATGCAATCTCTAAATAAGAGGATTCATCGCTGTGAGTGGTATCCTTGTTAGAGTATCTGTGGGCATGAAAAAAAAAGATGTTTTACTTGTACTCTCTAAATGTATATCCTTTGTATTTCTTAGACAACTTAATATAATTTGGTGGTGCTTAATCAGAATGGCTTTTGCTCATGATAGTATTATTGGCCCGTCTGATTCAAGTCGCCTGCTGTCCCCCTACCTGTTATGTTGTTGAGACTGTTATTTTTTTATTTTATTTCTACTGGTCTTAATGAACCATGCCCTTTTTTTGTTTAAGCCTTTTCTCAGCTATATGCATGGCAACTTTATCTTGTGGTTTGTTTTTACTTACTTTAGAACTGTTAAATTAGTGTTCAATTATTTTATTGTGATGACAAACAATTGTTCTTGTTAAATATTACTATTTTCTAATATTAAAATGTTTGTTAAATTACCTATGTTCATTTACCTGTAATGATGCATGTTCTACTTTCTGTAAAATATTAGCCAAGACAATAGAAATATATCAGTGTGAAGAGGCTGTCTGAAGAAGAATCTGCAAAGTTCAAGGGTAATTCTTTTGCAGTTACGATATTTATGCTTATATAGTGTAAGATGCAAAAAGTATATATATATATATATATATATATATATAGTAGTATCTTTTTTGGTACTGTGAAATCATATTTATACCTGAATAAAATTCTATTGCAGGGAATTGAGGGCTAAGGGTTGGAATGTTAATGCACGAATTAGGATGGACATGGAGATGGAGAGTTGGGTTTTAGAGTGTAACAGATTGTTGTATACAATCAACTAGCGTCGAGTCTGGTGAAGAAGAGTTCGAATTGCTTGGTCACCAGACAGAAGTTCTTTGGAACATCTTCGATTCACTGTTGTTTTGGGAATCATCTATTCGTAGAAGTTATCTACCTCTTGAATTTGGCTGATGGTTCCTTATGCTGCAATGTTGTGTTATATATGTCAGTAGCTCATTCATATTGTACGAACGGTTTCCTTGTCTCCAAGAGCTGGCTAGATAGTGTTCATTTATTGCTTTGTAATGTCAAGTGTGGATAAAAAGATGCTGTTCATGCTAGCTTTAATGTCATTTCCCGGTGACAAACTTTTCAACTTGTTTTTCACTGTTTGCGTCTCTCTGCATCTCTTCTCAATAATGGACTAATGACACAAGATTTCCATTATGTTTCGACTACTCGTTTTTGCCGGAAAACGTTAGTTTTTATCTTATCTGAACAAACTCAAACTTCTCTTTATTGAAACAGGTAAGGCAATGGATTGTCAATGCTATTTTCAATAGTCGAGATATTCGACGGAAACAATTTGCTAATCTTTTAACTGCTTTTTCTGAACCGATCTAGCGGAAAGATCCGCCGCGCTGCACTGTCGTCCAGACGATGTTGGAATGGGAGGTTGCTAATGAAGAACAGATTCTGTGTTTTCTTTCACTTATTCAGGCATTGTTTTCTGGATGTAAAACTTTAGGACAAAGTGAGCTTCCTTTGTTATGTTCATGCAGCACATGTATACGTGTTTAAAATTCGATCAATGTATTTTAACTATGCTCTACATTAAATCAAAGTTAATATTTAATATTCAAGCTAACAGAATGACCTAATTGAAATGGTGTTGATATTTTTAAGACACAATTAAAATATTTTAAAATCTGGAGACGAATTTAAAATATAAGACATAGTTTTAGGACTTCATGGTTTATAGAAAAAGATAAAAGAACCAAAGATGTATGGTTATCTCATCGGTTAACTTTGTCTTCATTCATGATGGAAACAAGTAACCTCCTTGAACGCATTAGCCTCCAAAAATCGAAGCTTTTTGTCATCAACACACTATCGAGAAAATCTCAAAAAAAAAAAATCTTAAACACTAATATTTTTAATATATTTTTACCATAAATTATGTAAAATTTAATATTAATTAAAATTAAAATAATATATGATATATTTAAATACTCAAGTAATATATTATCAACATATAGAATTTTTATATAAATAATTTTTATTTAAATATTTAGAATTTTACTTGTTAAAAATATAGAACAAGGACAATTTGGTAAAATATACATTCCAGTAATCTTTTATTCCTTCAACCAAACACGATAATCTTACATTCATGCCAAATCAATCAAACACAGTAATGTAACATTCCTAGTAATCCTATTCCCTGGTAATCTTTTATTCCCACTGGTAATCTTACATTCCGTGAACCAAACGCACCCTTAGAGTCAATGAAATTTCCATTAAATTTTAAAAAAATCCGACCGTTTACCAACAGTAAAAAATGTCAAAATTATAGCCGTTGAAATTTGTCACGCCGGAGTGACGAGTTCTATGGAGATAAAATATTATTTTTGTAATTTTCTTTTAAAAATTTATGTTTTTAATTGCGTGACGAGTCTCTCAAGATATATATTTTTATTCCGGGTGTGGGGCCCATCTGACACGACCCATTAAAAAATTATATCCTATGAAACTCGTCACGCCAGCGTGACAAGTTCCATAGGGACTGTTCAATTTGTCGTATATCCCAAATTAAATTTTTGGGTGCCCTAATGGGCTAAATAATTTAGTCGGTTGCCCTAATGAGCCATTTTGGCCAGTTAAGGCCTAATTCTAACATGTATTAATTTTGCTTATGAATATTTTATGCTACGTATTTAATTTAATTGAATTTATTTTATTGTAAATTCAAATTGGTTTTTATTTATTTTTATCATGTATAGTTTTTAATTTATGAATTAATGATTAAGAAATTCTAGAGAAATGGTTACAGATTTTAAGTTTTCGATTTCTAATAATATCGTTTAGACAACCTTATTATGAGTTACTTCGAAAACTATGACGTGAATAGAAAATTCAGTTTTGATTTTTAACTATTATGGATTATAGAATATATATTTGGCATTGATATATTCAATCCAGATTGATGAAAGATTTAATTTAGTATGTATTTTGATTTTAACTTTTGGTTAAATATTTTTAATTCGGTTTCTCTTTGGTAATTTATGAAGTTATAAATTAAATGCATGTTTAAAGAATTCTTCAAAAACAATTAAAGACTTGAGTTTTCAATTTTTTTATACCATCATTTATGTGACTTTATTTTGGGTTATTTCAGAAACTGTAATGTAATCAGAAATTTCATTTTTGATCTTTGATTGTTATAGAAATATTAAATTTGAATATTGATATTTATTTTGAGATGACTTAATTAAAACAATAAGTCATTAAAGTGACCTCATTTATGTAAAATATTTGATTTTTAAAATATAAATGTTATGTACATGTAACTTAGGATATGTTAGTATTGATCGGCCCAAAGGAACATGTACAATTTTGCTAATAAGCATGTGATAATTATGTGTGAGTAATAAATCGACTCAAATGAATGATTTTGCTTGATATGTTCTTATTATCAATATTTGATTACAACGTTCACTTAAGGTGATTATTTTGTCTAAAGATAACATATTAATGAAGTATTTGATATCTTGAGATGAGGTTTAAGTAAGTGTATTCAAATTTATTATTATTGTAGTTATTTTTTAATTTAATTGAAAGATCAAATTATGAGAAATTGATTGGTTGACAATATTTGTATGATTTCAATTATGTTGTTAGTGCAATATATGTATATATATTCAATTCAATTTGATTAAAATTTCAATTTTGTTAGTTATTATAATATATATATATTAAAACAAATTAATTCATAATTTGGTTATGTCTAATATTTTGATAGATTAGTTGAAACAAAATATTGCCAAAGTAACCTCTTTTGTGTAGACTAAGTTATTCGAAATGTCAAGATGATTATATGTTTTTTGTAATTCACGCGTTTATTAATTAGCCCAAAGGACAGTTAATATTTGGCCAAATTTCAAGCGACACTTGTGGTAATAATATGTGACAATTATAAAGTATTTTATGCGAGTATTACATTAGTCCAAAGATTAGTCTATTGTTCGACATAACTTATTGTTAATGTTTGATTACTACAAGAGTATCATTTACTGTTAATATTATTGTCCAAAGACTTGATATCGATGTAGTGTTTGACATCTTGAGATGAGAATTAACCATTATTTTTTGAATTTATTTATTTACTTAAGAATTTAAATGTGAACTTAAAT